CCCAGGCTCTCAAGGCTTGTTTTTGAATGAAATACAGAATGATGTTGAAGTTCATGAGAGTGGGCAAGCCCTCTTTCTGCACAGGAGGGATGCAGCAATACAACTGGTCCTGCCAGGTGCTGACCTGCCTGTCTGTATGGGGTGAGGGCTGTTCAGCTGCAGCGAAGCCCAGGAGTCTGAGATTCAGTCCGGATGTCAACACCAGTGGTAGATTCCAAACCATCTGGAATCAAAAGGAAACAACAGATTTAGGTAATTACTAAGCTAAGCCATGCATCAACCAAGTGGCCTAAGAGCCAAAAGTGCTGATTTCTGAGTCAGCACATACTACTGGCATGCTCTCTTCTGGCATCTCCATCCACCAGCCTAGTTTTGCTTTCCAGTGGGAACGTCCCTCCCCAGCACACTGGCACAGACACAGGCTCACTCACAGCTACACCCCCATCCACCCATCCCACATCCAGCACAGCCTCCCAGAGGAGAACATGTTCCATTCTGGGGTTTTATGGGTAAGCAGTGACCCACCATAAATGTGTTTTCTCTTGGGACCATTCCCCACGGATAAATCCATGTAAGGAATTAGTGCTGCACAGCAGCACAGGGCACTCTCACAGCTGCTCTTAGGCTCCATCAATGCTCCTTTACAGAGGTAACAAGATCCTTTATGCTTGTAGGCAGGGGTTCAGAGGCTCTTGAAAAATGAAGCCCAAAACCTATTAATCAGCGCAAATTTAACATAATAAATAAAAGCTCGTGGTCAAAAAGCCCCAACTGCTTCTCTCTTGCAGATTCAAAGCAAAGAAGGAATCCAGTCAGATTTGTATCACTGCTTCCTTGCTCTATAAATAGCTGCAACTGCCATTCTAAAAATAAACCAGATAAATATTTAAGGCCCACTGCTACTTAACTTACTGTTGTGCTTACATACTGCTTACTGTTGTGTAAATTAGGAAAAATATCAATGAGATCCATAAATTTACACCACAATGCTTTGCTGAAGCCAGAGGGAAGGACTGTTTTTCCAGTGATTACAGAAAAGTCTTTCCATGAACACTTCACCATCAGCTTTCTTTCCCCTGACCTACAGATCCCTTTGACAGCCATGGGAAAACGAGCATAAGGGGAAATGCCAAGAAATCTGCTACAGTCCTTTTGCCTAATCCGTAAGATGGATAAATAATTTTTTTAAAGGGCACCTCTGTCCTATTTAACTTTTAAGCTTAGCTGAACAAGGACTGGAAGAGATACCTGCTCCCTAGAGCAGTTTAGGAGAAAGTACTCTGCTGGAATTTTCTATCTAGCTTGGTATCTATACTTGTCAAATAAAACAGCGATTACCATAAAACTACTGTAAAAATAAGCAGCTATACTTTTGTAGACAATTTGTCTGTCCCCAAAATAACTCAGTATTTTGCCCATGAAATACTTCAGACTAATGCACTTCTGAAAAAAAAAAATAGTTGGATATGAACAAAATAGTCTCAAATAGCTCTTCTATCTAAATTTAACTCAAAGACACCATTTCACATCAGATAAAAAGACAACATAATGTACCTGATAATGAATCGCATTATTTGTGAGGGCACTAACAGAACACAAATTATTTGTATTACTGGAATAAACATTCAACAGAATCCACCAAAACATGTGAAACTGTTTGAAGGAAAATACAGTCATTCTTCGTCCCGAATAAACCAAGGGGAAAAAACCAACCCAACCCAACCACACCAAAACCAACCCAAACTGTTCTTGAGCATGCATAGGTATTGTGTTAATCTGATTACATGGGAAAACTAAACACTCAAAGGCTGCCTGTTTTGCTATTTTTCCTTGCTTTTCCAGGAAACCAAATATTAAGTACCTGGCTTACAAACCTCCAGGAGTTGATCCTGCTTCCTTTGACGTTCACCTCCTACGAATGACACAATCCAACACCCACATACCAGCTCTAAGAAATCAAGAATGCTGTTGCTTCAACAAACCCCATGCACTAAGGGCTAGCCAAAGAAAGATGAAACACCCTGGAACTCGGCAAACAAATTATACCCACTGCTGACGTAAGAAGAGGGAAGGGAGGGCAAAGGGGAAAAAAGAAAAATTAAATAAACCAGAGGAAGCATCCTTAGTCATCCACAGCAACGTGTTGAGGTTTTAACAGCACACCTGGAAATTGAAAGCCTCCATTAGCTCTAGCTAGAAAGTAAAGAGCAGGCTGCAAGTGGGCAATGAGCATTACCACCCTCGTGGGGTGGGAATGAGACTGGAGTGCCTTCTCCTCAGCCCAGCCTTGCAGGTGCTGCAGGGAAGAGGAGCTGCCTCCAACAGCATGAGAGCCCAAGGCAGGCAGGACTTTGGGGAGCACAGAGGAGCTCCCTCCCCACCTTACACAGCTGTTGCCTATTCCTGCTGCACAGGCCAAATAAATCACCAGCAGGGAGCACCTGGGGCCTTTGTGGAAAAACATGGATTAACAGCATCGAGAGGATTTGGTATCCCATCTAACACTGCAGGCAGCTTTTACACACCTAGATGAGGGCATTGTGGATGACGTTGAGTGTTTTAGGGGTCAGAGTGTATGGGGTGGCAGGACTCCAAAAGCCTGGGAGGAAAACACATGCTGTGGACATGGCTCTGCACTGCTCCCCTTCCTCCTTCCCCATTATTAAAGTGGCAATTTGTCATGCATGGAGCTTGAGAGCTCTGCATGCTGCATCCCAGGAATGTCACCCATCGTGGGGACCAACAGCATTGCTGCCTGCCACAGCCAAGTCTTCCCTTGAGTGCTCCCAGCCAAAAGCAGCTCTCACTCAATTTTCCACAGCTGGAAACACCTGGGAAGGGCAGAGGTGGACTGCACCTCTAAGTGACCTCCCCCTTCTCCCCCTGTTTTGAATTATATTTGTGAGCAAACAGGTAAAAATATGGCCTTTAAGCTCAGAACCCCAGCTTTGGCCTAAGAACCACCACCACCATTTAGGAAACCAGACAAACAAACGGGAAGAAAGGAAAATGCTGCATAATTACTCAGAGCCACCCTGCAAGGAGGGCTGTTACCAAAACCACTGAGTCTCTTTTATTGAGGATTTCTTGTTGCAGTAGAACGCTGCCTAATAGCTGCTGTATCCTGCTTGAGCGAGTATATTCTCCTTGGAAATCAAGCAAAGGTTTCTAATAGTTTTTGACAGAGTGTGGTCCCCTAAAGCTACATTTTCTGTCTGATTCATGCTGACTAACTGTAACCCTACGACAGTTATTGAAAGTTAATTAGCGGTGAAGTGCTAAGGGCTCTAAAAATGAAAATACAAGCGAGAGCTGAATGCAGAGTGTCTCCCTTCCCAGAAAAAAATACTGTCAAGAAGGTTAACATAACCGAAAAAATATGGCAAGTTGAAAATGTGAGAGGGATTCCTCTAATAACTTGGCTGTGATGCTCCCTTGTTGTGTAGACACACAGCTGAGAGGTAACATATTCCTAAGGGTTTATCAGGGACCCAAGAAACAAATCCCAGTATTTCTATCTTTATTTAATTTTCTAGAGGAAGTGACTGGAAAGCTACATAGAGACAACACCCAAGTTACATAAAGACAAAGATATAAATCAATTACTGCTTCCTTTGGGGACTCAAGTTTGTCAGATGTTGCACATGCTATCAAATCCCAACTATTTTTGCCCTTATCCTTCACTTCCTCAGTGTTTGCAAGGAAAAATCCACAGTTAGATGCGAGCCCAGCCAGCACCCAGCGGGCGTAGGAGGTGAGGCGAGGAGAGCCACAGCCCTGCACCACCCACTCCCTGCAGATGTAAGCGCTGAGACAAGGTGCGAGGCAGTGGGCAGACCCTTCAGGTGTTAAAAAAGCCCATCCTGGCACCCCCAGAAGCTGGATACAGCCCTAAACAATAAAAACTAAAAGCAACCTTCACGCAGAGAAGGGGCATTGTTTGAAGAACAAGGAAGGGAACGCACTGGAGCAAAGCAAGTAGGTTGGAAAAGCCAAATGTAGGGCTCAGTATAAAAATAGACAACAGTGATGCCAGAATGCCTTGGCAAAATTGTGTTTATTGATTTTCATAGAATAGGGAAAAAAGCTCCAGCCCTTTCCACCCCTGACTGCTGACTGTGACTCACTAGCAATCTAAAATGACTGCAATGAGCAAGCGGGGACTGAGCTGAGTTGGACCTCGCTCACGTCTTCACAGGGCTGACAGGGGAACGGTGTCCTGCTCCTGGCTCTCCCTTGTGGCTGCCCAGGAAATACAGAATAGCTGTGCATGTTCACCTCCACCACAACATCCAACAACACTTCGTTCAGGCAGGTCCTCTGTGGGGACAGAGGGGCTGACTAATGAATGCGTGGCTCAGTGTGTGGCTCAGGCACCAATGCTTGCCGCCACCCTGGTGACCTGGTGACCTTTCCCTGGGGCTGGAAGCAGGGTGCGTAAGGAGGACATCCACTGCCTCCCGTCCAGCTGGGTGACCGCCTGGGTTGTCTGCAAGTGTCACAAGCTGTCCAAGTTCGGTTTGGAACTGCTTTACACCTTTACAGGGCAGCTCTCACTCTGAGGGGATCACAGTGCAAGGACACGCTTTAGGCTGAGTTGTTACCTTCGATGGTTTTTGTCCTCCCTTCCAAGCTCACCCTCTCAACCCCACGGAAGGCGAGGGCGGGGTGTCACCCTCCAGACGGGCCCTCAGCCCCGCACAAGGCCCGGCTGCCGCGGGTGGAGCCCCGGCCCGGGCCGCTGGCGGCCCCGCGGGGGGAGCGGGCAGCGGGGCCGCCCCGCCCG